TCTAAGATCTTTTTTTTTTTTTGCATTAACTGCTGCAGAAGAATGAGATAGAAACTGCTAAGATATATACTACTGTATACTCTCTATCAAGACTTTCTCTCTTCAGAGTCTTGATATTATAGAGAATATAAGTCTGTTTCTATATAATAATATAAATATTATCAGCAGAATGTAGAGGAACTGGTTATTTATATCTCAAAATAGAAGACTTTGTCAATGATTATATTAATATAGAGTTAATTCTTAAATTTAATAGAAATCTAGTGTTGCTGTTTTCAATCTCTTGCAGAATCTATTGAATATTGAGATATTAAAACTAGATTTAATATATCTCACTGTGCAGGGATCAAAGGCTCAGTCAGATCTTGAAGTATACTGATTTTATAGTTATTAATATACTGTTGACTTGTTATTCACTGATTATGTATTGAATGCTGTTACTGAGATATCTTTTTGTATCATTCTGCTGAGAATGAGCCAGATTGAGAGGGGTAGTACAGAGGTGAGACTTGGTGTTAAAGTCTAGATACACTGGCAGTGAATCATGGAGATTGCACTTCAGAAGAGTCTGTTGATTATGTACTTGATATTATTGCTGAGATATCTTTTTGTATTTTTCTGCCAGGGATGGGCCAGATTGAGAAGGGCAGTACAAGGGTGAGACTTGGCATTGGTGTTTTGAAACATCAAAGATGGACAGGGTTTTCACAGAGGTCACTCCTCGGATATCTCCACAACTACAGGTTGGGGATCTTTCAAAATTGAGAAGATTGATGCATATGGCTAGGTCACTTCACCTTACAATTTGTATGGCACTCTGGCCCAGGGTTGTGGTGTGGTAGGGGAGAACAGAGGATAATCCCACACAGGAGCTTCGAACAACGTCCGGTTCACATTTGGCTGGATAACTCCACCACCACACGGGGTATGCGGTCGGCGATGGGGTCAAAATGCTCGTATGATCGAGGGCTTTTTGATGGATCTATCGGCGGGTTCTTATTCGAAAAATCGAGCGAGTTCGTGGTGGAGCGGTTGTAAGTCTGTTCTTTCTTACATACAGATATTATATAAAAGTGTTAAATCTTCTAGAGATTACATAGTTTATACTGAACTTTTACAGTCTGATTCAGATTGCTGATAATATAGTAATAAAGCTCTGAAATACTTATAATTAAGTAGAGATCTTCATAGCAACTGTGAAACAAGATTAAGAAAATTAAATTAATATTCACTGAGACTCTGCTGAATAATATAAGATAGAAGATCTGATATAATTGAATCTTAAGAATATATAAATCACATATTTATCTTATATACTAGATTATTATTATATCAGATATAAAGTGATAGAAGTTCTAGATAGTTATAATTATTATCTTAATATATTATCAGAGATTTATAATATATTTTATACAAGCTTGTTTTACTGTACTATTACTGATTCATTTTCTTCTCAGCTGACTTCTGACTGATAGTTATCAGATATCATAGAAGAAGATAATAAGCTTGAGTGAGAGATTGAGAATATTCTTGATAAAAGACTCTGCAGCTGTAGTCAGTAATATCTTATAAAATGAGTTAGTTATAATCAATTAATCTGAACTCTGAGTTCTGTATTATGTGAAACAGTGACTCTTGACTGATGAGAACTGCTTCTGAAAGAGAGAGACTAATGTAACAGACTGTACTTAATCAATTATATAGACTATTTTATTACACTTTATAAATTCTTTCATTCTCAATCACTGATCTGTAGCTGCTATAAATGTGTGTAATATATACTCTAATTCTCAGTCATTCTCAATCACTGATTTTCAGCTGCTATAAATACATGTATATTCTTCTATTTTAAAACTTCACTGTGTACATTACTACATACATATATAAATATTTATCTTAATAACTGATTCTCACACTTTCTCTTTCTTTTCTTCTTTAACATTTTTATCTTTGTTAAATAAGATTTATCAATATAATACTGATCTATTCAGCGTAGACTTCTTATAAAAGTAAATATAATAAAAGAATTCTTCTATTCAGAGTGAATACATTCAATACTTACACAGGTGTTTTTAAATAAAAGTAAAAATAAAAAAAAAATAATGTGATTCTTTGTAAAAAAAACGTGCCATCCGGGCTATAATCTGTGGGATGGTTAATCTGTTGTAATTCGTGTAGGAAGAGCTAGCTACATTTATATTACATATGAGATCACGTGTAGGCGGCGCGATCGCTATGGCAACGCCACTGGGCGGACGCTGCTACAGAATGTTGTTGAGGGTGCAGTGCGCTGATGGTGATTGAGCTCTTTTGTCCCAGTAGTCTACAGGTTATGAGACTGTTAAGCGTGAGCCCCACTGTGATCAACATGCATGGGTTCAATCTCAGAATGGACTTAAAAATTCCTAACAAATACTCTGGACATTTTAACAGTGTCAAGAGACATCCCAGAAGTGTGCTCTAGAAGTCCTGTGAGTCCTAGAACTGACTGAGTCCATTATTAAAGGAGTCATTGTGGGGAGGCCACTGAAGAGAGCCACTGAGGGGAAGTACTGTACTCTGTGATAGCTGGTCTGAGGGGGGGTGTTGGGGGTCCCGCGGTTGGTCGGCCCTTCTACCAGCAGTGTGCTGGTGGTGATTGAGCTCTTTTGCCCCAGTAGCCTACAGATGTGTGTGGATCACGTGCATCCACGTGATCACGATTGGAACCGGTGGCGGCGGAACATCACAAGCCTGACTCAATCTTAAGAGGCATTACCCACGGCCTATTCATGCTGCGTGTCATGCGGGTAACCTTCCAGGCGGTGTGGTGAGAAAGAGGCAGAGAACACACCCACAGAAAGTGTCCATGATTTTGATTTCTTGCATATGTATACCCCCTATACCAACTCATGATCTAACCGTTCACGAATAAATAACTTACTTACCGAGTCCACGGCCTTCTGGTCTATTTTTCTACCATATTCTAGTTCTGCAGCATTGAAATGTCCACGCTCTTGCCCTACGACAACGGCCAGATACAGCTTATACCTCCAGAGCTCGCCGTTCAGCACTATGATTCTTTCCTGCATATAGAACGCCAATCAAGACAGCTCCAGCGCGATCTCCAAACACTTCTAGATGCTCAGAGTGCTGGGTTAGCTGCGGGTCTCTCTGGGCCTGCTGGAGACGATACCACTTCAAATGGCAGCTTGACTCCTACTCCTACACCCTCCCAATTCAGCAGCAGCTCTCATAGTGCCATCACCATACCCGTACGACAACCAGCGAAAAAGAAAATAGGACTCCGTGGTGCCCGGCGTGGGATTCTTAAAACAATGCATACATTACTTAGTCTAAAGGAGGAAGAGCGGCGGCTCATTGACTCCGAGCTGAAGAATCGGAGGCTGGCAGTGAAAGAAGTGGAGAGCTTCGTGACCAAGCAGAGTGGACTTGAAAAAGCAATAGCGGAAATCCAAATGAACGGGGGATCACTAAGAGCAGAGAATCTGATGAGGGCAGCTCGCACTCTGGAAACAGATATTCGAGACCTAGAGTCAAAGTTGCTACAAATGAAATCGCAGCATCGCTACATCCTCAACGAGGTTTCCCAGATTCAAAACTCCGTTGACGCCCAATTATCCTCGTACAAGGCCTCGTTGGCGCTAGTCCAAACAGATGTGAGCAATTATCTGCGATCTCCGCCCATACGGCCTCTTGTGCCTCCCTCCGCTACCCCCCCTCCATTCTATACTCTGAATCCGAAACGCAGGACCCTCGAGATGGCGAATGAGCAATGGGTACTGGAGCAGGGCGAATTAAGGAGCAAACGACACAAAGTTGATCTTGAGATCGAGGCCTTAAGGGAAGGGGGCGGGGTCTGGCAAAAAGCTGTATCAGATATATCCAACTTTGAGAAATTATTACGACAGGAAATGCGCAGTTTGCAGCAGGGTTCGCAAGTTTTACAACCCCGGGATAGGGACTCAAGCATAAACCATGAACAAACCGTTCTAAAAGAACTAGACGATATAGCCTCGCAACTAGAAACAAGGTTACAACTCGCGGAGCAGAAAAATTGGAATTTGCTCATTTGCTGCATTGGCGCAGAGTTAGAAGCTTTCCGGGAAGCGAGGCGGCTGCTGCTAGAAGCTTTCCCAGCGCTTGGGGATGGCAAGGGTGCTGGTTTATCAAAGGGAGCAACTGAAGTCAGTCTGAATTTTCAGGAGGATACAGCAGCAGCAGATTCTAGGAAAACAATAGATTCGAAGGAACAATCCCCCGCTTCAGTGGAGAATACCACAGTGGAATCACTGCATTCTCCTGTGCAGTCAAGCAGATCTGAAGACGATGACGAGCCTGATCCCGCTTGGCTACTTTCCGAATAGAACTTCGAGCAATATATTAATTTTTAATGGTCCTTTTTCGGTTCTATATTTTTAAGATTTATGAAGGTAATTTGACTTTTGGATAGCCTGCTTACTTTTGGATATTGTCACAATTTTTCGATTATGAAAGAGCCTTTTGATATTAGCATGGAAAACAATGACAACAAATGGATCTCGTTCAACTCCATAACTATCGCGCTTCCAAGGTTGTGCGCAATATTTATATTTATATTTCTCGTAGCTTCACGGGTTCTAGCTATATTTGAATACATTTTTTTGATCCCCTATTCGTGCCTTCGCATCTCCCTGCGCCGACCTGATTTTTGAATAAAATGCCCTGTGTGGATGGAGAAATTTTTGTGTGGCGGAGAGCCAATTCACTAACCCAAACCACGCTATAATTATACTGCATCAATAACCACATCATCGTATTGGCTCCAAAACGCCGCTCCGCCAGTTTTTCTTGGAGGACATGACATTTCTCAATGTAAGCCAAAAGAAATGTGACAATGCCTCGATGTCAGATTTGTCGCTGACGACGGCTACATCATCCAGCACCAAGGCTCCTTGCTCCAAAGATAATCAACATCCAGGCACTAAAATAATAAACTTGCACGAGACAGCTGAAACACCATGGAACCCTTACCGCAGCCGTTATGCAGCTTCACAATACCGTCCCTCTACGACGGCATCCGGATTGACTGTCGCTTGTATCATCCCCGCCAGCTCTCACGACCTGATAGTGCATTATCGTGGAGAAGCAGGGGCGCTATTGTCGCACATCCATATGCCCCCATAGGGGGTAACTATGACAATCCCATAGTTTGTGGTGTCGCGGGTGAACTATTGAAGGTGGGATATATTGTTGTGACTTTTAATTTTAGGTGGGTGTGCTGGCGTTCTCTATCCATGAGACATGTATCTCTTTTCCATGAATGTTGGTGTGGTGATTATGTGTGTTGATTTACATATGTAAATATATTTACAGAGGCGCGTCCGAATCTGCAGGTCGGACAAGCTGGTCCGCGCGACCAGAGCTTAGTGACTATGTCACTGTTTACGGATTTCTCATCTATTACCTTGTTGGGATCGATCCCGATTCCATACGAGAGTCACTGGCTGAATCTGGGAACAATCAACCTCCTGCTGTGACTGATATCCAAAACCCCACGGCTGGATCTGAAAGATTGGAGATAATTTTAGCCGGGTACTCTTACGGCTCCATGATCGCATCTCATCTACCATCGATAGAAGCCGTTTTACGCCTGTTCGCATCTCCCGAAGCGGGTTCGCCTAGTGCGGAAATTTTACAGCAGGCCGATGATCTATCTACGCTTTGGAATCTTGAAGCAAAATTGGAACTGTCATCGCGAACACCGATTCTACAGGGCAGCAGTTGTGATGGCCAGGGAAAGCCGTCCCAGTGTGTTTCCATGGGCAGCAGCGCGGAGTCCACTGGGAAAAAGTCAAGCATGGATATGGGCGCAGCGATCAGACATAGCATTGAACGTTCTCGAAGGAGACTGAGAGCGAGGTTTATACGCGGCCACGGGGTGGAAAATCGAACAGTGGATGCTAGTGTTAGTGCTAGTAGTGGTGTTAGTGAGATTGCACAGAATATGCTAACGCCAGCTGTGTCGTTTCTCCTCATCTCCCCCGTCATCCCACCCATCACGAACTTCATGACGATGTCTCTATTCGGCCCTCGAATCAATCTCGATGTCACCCTTGCGGGTATGAAGGTCAAATCGACCCCGCCGGAAGAGCAGCTTACGACCCACCGCACTCTGGTTGTGTACGGCAACAATGATATGTTCGCTTCAGCGAAGAAGCTACGGAAATGGGTCACGGATCTCAGGAAGACGCCGGGCTCAATGCTTGAGTTCGTGGAGATTGACACGGCGGGGCATTTCTGGTTTGAGAAAGGGACGGAGGATCAAATGAGAGCTGCTGTGACAGAGTGGGCATGTAGGAATAGTAGTGGTGGTGAGGTCTGTAAGATGCCTTCCCTGTTATAGTAATGCTGCAGGTACTTCACATCAGATTATGAGGCTCATTTTATGCACAACACTGTCACTACAAGTTTCTTGTTGATATTAATTACCTGTATTGCTTTATTCAATATGTCTCAGATACTAAAATTATTTTATTTTATTCATTTAATATATTCTTTCATTAAAATAGAAAATTTTATTAATTATTATACTATCTGTTTAAAATACTTGTATAGTAAAATATATTACTGAAATTAAAATATTTAATTAATGAAAAAATATTATAATATATTAATATTAGACTGATTACTGAAATTATAAATTTTTATATTTAATTTAATATAATATAATTTTATATCTTTTTTAATATAACTTTTATCAGAATTAAATATAAAAAAAATGTAAAAAGTGATTAAAAATTCAAACTTAAAAGAAGATTATAATTAATTAAAATAAGAAAATAACTAGTAATTATATAAAAATAATTTTATAAATATTTGAATATATATTTCTATAAACTTCTATTAAAACTTTTTATATATATTTTCTAAAGTAAGATATTTTTTTTATTAAATTATATATTCTGAGTTCTGACTTATTAATTCTTTTATTATATTACTTTTTAAAAGCTTTTAAAGAATAATATTGTTTATCTTATATAATCTATCTACGCGAGTTACACTAAATAGATTGAGATAATATATGACTAGAGTAGATATAGTAATTATTAACATCTTCTCTTACTATACTTATAATCTAGACTGATTAGTAAGATTATAAATTTCACATTTAATTTCATTTAATCTAATCTCATACATTTTTTAATGTGAGTCTCATCAGAATCAAGTCTTAAAAAAATCTGAAAATGAATCATTTCTGAGAGAAATGATGTGAAAAATAATCAGATTTAATTCAAGAATAGTGAAATAAAAGTAATTTCTCAGAATAAACTATAAAAGATAATTATTCTTTCAAAATCAGAATAAGACTGAGACTGAAGATTAAAATCAGTCTTATTCAATTCATTCAGTGATTACTTATATAATCAGAATTTAATAATAATTATTAATAATACTTATAAAATAATTAAATACATTCTTATATAAGTTTTTTCTTCACTTTCTTATGAAAACTACACTTCTCTAATATACTATAATCAGAGATATTAAACTATCTGATAATTTTATATTTTATAATTATGAGTTTCTTAATTATTTCTTTCTATAATTGTCTCTGATAATAGTAATAAATATCTCAACTTGAGTTGAACTTTCACTTCATTCTCATCTCTGTCAATAAAATTATTAGAATATCATATATTATCAGTGTAATAGTTGAATATATACTCTTAACAATTTTTTATAACTCTAGAATTGATTTAACATGTAAATTCATCAGATTATCTTGAAGATAGCAGTCAAATTCAGTTTTATAAGTATATAGTTTTGCCTGATTTTCAGTTATAATTAATATATATAAGTTCTGTTTCAAAGTTAGTATTATAGTTCTATATAATGTGGTTCGGAAAAACGTACGACCGTCGGATAATAACGCGGCCGCTTTCAAACTTGCTTATGAGTGTAAAGAGGCCATAGCGGCCACTAATTAATTTAGTGTATAATATATAAGAAGCTGACATACATCTGTAATTATACACTGACTTAAGCAATCTTTGAATCATATCTGATAGCATGTTTAAAAATTAGTGAGAAGTACAGACTTCTTCAGAGTGTGATAATTTCATCTATGAAGTAATTCATAGTTATCATGTCAGTGTGGTTCTAGAATGTCTCAAAAGATAGCATATAAAGAGTGATTAGTAGAAGAGTATTCAATTGATACTACTTCACTTATAGAGGAAAAACTTCACACTCAGATGAATGCCATGTATAATACATGAATAGATGAGATGTGAGAAAGAAAATAAGAGTGATAAATAAGATTCAAAGAAGACTGCTCTTCACTTAGAAGAATAAAGAGAGAGTAATTATTATCAGAGTTATATAATAATAATAGAAATTATATAATAATATAGTGATATAATGATATAGTAATATAATAATAGACATTATACAATCAATGAGAAATCACTGAAATGAATATCTTTTCTAGTTAATATAAATAACACTCTTCTCTGTTATCTGAATCAGAAGATATACAGAATCTCTCAGAGAATTTACTTAAAGTAGTAAGAAAAGCAGCTGAAACTGCTAAATCAGAATCAAAGCTCTATACATGTACAAGAATTCTAAATGAGATCAAGGTCTTGCATACACAGTGACAGACTGAGACAGAAGTCAAATAATAATTGACATTTACTGTGAATTAAGTATTTACTATGAAGAGCTTCACTGATACAATCATCATTATTAATAAGAATAGAGAAAATCAGATCTTAGATCTGCAGTGAGAGATTAAATATTTACACAGATAGATAACTACACTGAATCTGAAGATCTTATCACAATTATTCATGATCTCTTCAGAAGTGTATACATTATCAGAGATTACTGTGTAGAATGAGAATCTAAATATGAAATATATCAAGTCAGAAGATCTGTCAGAGTTATTAAGCTTTAATAATAACTGAAAAAATAATGCTGCAATCAGCTGACTATATCAGATATAATTATATTATCAGATTAAATATGAACTTACAGACAGATAGTTAATAGAATTTTAACAAGTCTTAAGATCTGCTGCATTTCTACATAGAAAAGTGAAGTTATTATAAATAACTGATAAAAAGATAAATCTCATAGATCTGAAGCAATATTCATTCTTATAAATATAAAATAAGTTTTTCAAATGAATCTTGTACAACTTTAAGAAAGTGAATATATAAGATAAGTGTTATAAATACTTCACTAAATGTAGATAAGTGAGTGATCTTATATTATACTTCACACACTTCAGCTTATACTATCTTATATTGAATGAAGAGCTTTTAATATCTTTCTGTTTATAGATCTTCATTTATGATCTTACATCTGAGTTGAGAGTAGAATGAAAATGCTTAATCTTGTAATCAGACACAGTGAAAGAAGCATATAACATCCTCATTATATGAGAATAAGTGAGTCAATTATAACAGAAAATACTGTAATCAAATATGTCTCAGTGAAGAACATATAATCAGACTTCTACAATATAAGTTATATATCTGAATGTGATAAATCTAGATCTGAATATCATTGCTAAAGCACTGAATTCTCTGAAAAAGAGATTCTCTGAGTGAAAATCTTGATATTATGAGCATCAAGCTTGCTTCAACTGCAGATGTCAAAATCATGATATAAAAGATTACACTCAGCATGCACAGTCAAGAGAAGTAAGAGAGTTAAACAACTAGCAGAATCAGTGAGCTTGAAGACACTCACTGATATTCTATAAAAAGTCTTCAAAGTAAAAGAGATATCTGTGTTAGATGACTCTTTAAATTCTGTGAATATTAAGAGAAAGCAGGCTTCTGACTGAGATGTGAGTAAGAATGAAGTGAATACTCATCTCAGTGTCTTAAGACCTGAAATGTTAATGTATAAGAGGCACTTGAATAAGAATTGAGAGATGACTGTAAAAGTATTAGCAGACACAGAAGCTTTTATATAATATATTAATAATTATATAATCTGAAGACTGAAAGAAGTTCACTGAGTGAAGAATCTCTGATACATAAGATTATCTGATAACTAATATTTGATATCATCTGCAAGAGTAAGAGTTCTCTTACACTTCAGAGAATGATCTTATTATATTTGAGTGTAAGAGCTGTAGAACATGAAATACAATCTTATTTTCAAACTCAATTGATTTCAAAGGTTCAATCTGCAGATTCAATGACATACATGTTATATACAGTTGACTGATAGAAAGAAAATGATTCATATAATTCTATCAACTGATACAAGAAGAACATTTCACATCTCTGATATAGAAAAATTAAATCTACTTACACATCAATAAGTAAAGAGAATGATTTATAAGACCTTATCTGAAAGCATTCTGTATGTCATATAGAATTCAGAAGTGAAGAAAACCAAGATAAAGAATATATAGAAGAGTAAGTATATGAAGAAGTTTCTGAAGAAGTATGAAAAGATCTTCTGAACAGATCTTTTACTGAAGTTGTTACTGAAATGAGAATTCATATATGAGATTGACACAGGGGATGTAAAACCAGTCAATCAGAATATATACTCTCTGTTACAAACATATCTCAAAGAACAGAAGTATCAGATCACAGATCTTCTAGAATATAATCTCATATAATTCTCATCAAGTATGTGAGGCTTTTCAGTTCTATTCATGAAAAAGACAGATGAAGAGTGATGAATGTGTATCAATTATCAAGCATGTAATAAGCTTATAATCAAGAATGAATATTAACTGTCATAGATTCAACAACAGTTAAATACAGTTGAAAACACTTAATATCTATTAAAGATCAATCTTCTCTCAGAATACTGACAGATCTGTGTAGATGAAGTGTCAGTTCTGTGAACTGTGTTTAATATACAATAGAGAAAGTTCAAATTTCTGATAATATTATTCAGTCTAATAAATACATCTGTTATCTTTTAAATAATGATGAATACAATTCTTCATAAACAGAATAAAACCTTATATCTTATACATCTCAATGATATTCTAGTCTTTTCAAACTTATATAATGAACATCTGAAGCATCTCAATGAAGTGCTTATAACTCTGATAGAGTATAAGCTCTATATTAAATTAACAAAGTATGTGTTTGAAATGAAAGAGTTGAAGTTTATAGAATATATAGTAAGTAATAACTGTATACATCTCATTTCAGAGAAATTGAATGTTATAGTAAATTGACTATGACTGAGAAATATACATTATATATAATAGTTTCTTGAGTTAATCTCATATTACTGCAGATTTATCAAGAATTTTACATGAATATCTGCATCACTCTCAGATCTCTTAAGAGAAATAGATGCAAATCTGTGAAAGAAGATATTTTATTCAATTATCTGAAATACTGTGTATAAAGAGGC